GGTGGATTCTTTTTTTTTTTTGAGTTGAAGTCTCACTCTGTCGCCCAGACTGGAGTGCAGTGGCCACTCCCGGCCACCGCAGCCTCGACCTGCTGGGCTCAGGTGATCCTTCCACCTCAGCCTTCCAAGGAGCTGGAACTACAGGTGCGCGCTACCACACCCGGCTAATTTTTTGATTTATTGTAGAGATGAGGTCTCGCCAAATTGCCCGGGTGGGTTTCGAACCCGTGGGCTCAGGCAATCAACTCACCTCAGCCTCCCAAGGCGCGGGATTAGAGTTCTCAATTCTTTAGCCTCCCTAAATACCAGTCCTATTTTCATTTAATAAAGGCTACAGGTAAAAGCTCCCCAAGTTAGCTGTGTCCCTGGGGTCTGCCCCCTAGTTCAGCCATCCCCACCCCCAGTGAGGAAGGAAGAGCCACCTAGGAGTGGAGGAGTTCCTGAAGCTAAATAAGCAAAGGAAAATGTGGCTCATTAGCAAGTCCTATTGACTCTATCTTCAAAATATATCCAGAATCCAATCACATTCTCTGCCTCCAGCACCATTACCCTGAGGCAAGCCACCATCACGTCTCACTTCCACTCTTCTTCCCTTGCCCAAAATGCATCCTCCACACAGCAGCATACAGGACCTTTTAAAAGACAATCAACCCACGCCTTTGGGAGGCTGAGGTGAGTGGATTGCCTGAGCCCACGGGTTCGAGACCCGCCTGGGCAGCAAGACCTCATCTCTACAATAAATCAAAAAATCAGCTGGGCGTGGTAGCGCATGCCTGTAATTCTGGCTACTTGGAAGGCTGAGATGGAAGGATCACCTGAGCCCAGCAGGTCGAGGCTGCGGTGGCCGGGAGCCATCACTGCACTCCAGTCTGGGTGACAGAGTGAGACTCCAACTCAAAAAAAAAAAAAAAAGAAAAAAGACAATCAAAGGCAGGCACAGTGGCTCATTCCTCTAATCCCAGCACTTTGGGAGGTTGAGGAAAAAGGGTTGCCTGAGCCCAGGATCAAGACCAGCCAAGGCAACATGGTGAGACCTCATCTTTACAATGAATTTTTTTTTTTTTTTTAATTAGCCAGGCATGGTGGCATGCGCCTGTAGTCCCAGCTACTCAGGAGGCTGAGATAGAGGGATCATCTGAGCCCAGCAGGTCAAGGCAGCAGTAGCCATGATCACATCACTGCACTCCAGCCTAGGCAACGGAGTGAGACTCTAATTAAAAAAAAAAAAAAAGACAATCGAGCCACAGGACTTCTGCTCAACATGCACCCCGTCCCTTCCCATTACTCCAAGAAGAAAAAAAAATCAGACTCCTCATCACAGCCTGTGAGAGTCACAGTCTGGCCCCAGTCCCCCTCTTGTCACACCACCTTTCACACCGTTCTCCCCTTGCTCACTTCTTTCCAGCACACTGGCCTTCCTCCATTATCTAAAGACTGTTCCTGCCTGAGGGTCTTTGTAGGAGCTGTTCTCTCTGCTAGGAAAGCTTTCCCCCCAGATCCTCACATGACTGAATCGCTGTCACCTACGTCTCAGGTGTCAGACATCATCTACTCAAGGAAACCTTTTTCCATTCTTTCCTAAGTTTTTAAGTTTTGGGTCACTCTCCATCACATTTCTCTGTTTTAGTTCGTGGAGCAGGGATCTGTCTTTGCCGTTGCACCTGTAGCGGCGGGAAAGGAGCCGCGCTTCTCGGAGGCCACACGAGGGCGCTGCTCCCCAAGGACCGGATCGCTAGGGCCGCCCCCTTAGGCCCAATGGCTGGGTTTGGTTCCCAGCCGACTGTCTGGCTGTTGGAGTGGCGGGATGGCAGCAAGGGTGCTTGATCCTCCGCCTTGCCCTGGCCCACCGTGGATTGTACTGGAGGGATGAGGTGTGCAGGGAGCGCAACAGGCTGGGGAAGGAGGGCCAACCAGGCTCATCAGAATGTAGGTCAGACCAGGAATCCATCCCCTGAGAAATGGGACCCAGGCGGGCCCTCCCCATCAACTTCAGGTCTGGCCCAAGGAGACCCTCAGACAGGAATTAGAGGAGAGTGTCACTATATTACCAGCTGGGGAGGGTGCTGTCTGAGGGGGGAGTTGGTTTCAGTCCCAGGAGGAGTAGAAACTAGCCTAGGGCCTGAAAGGGCCAGGAACCCCTGTGACCACTCCCTTCAAGAATGTGCCCAACCTTAGTGACAAGTGACTCGAGGGAGCATGAGGGGGATGGGAGCATAGCTTTAGCATGCTTACTCCCCCAGACACACACACACACACACACACACACACCCTCCCCTCCCACCCCAATTCCTGCCAAAGTTCAGAGAATCTATCCTTGCTCTCTCTGTAACCCCTACTGCTCTGGCTCCCAAGGCTGCCCGGAGTAGCAGGCCACCATGCCTTCAGCCTCCCAGGACCCACTTCCACCTCTGGGCCTGGGTGCCCTGAGCTGGGCAAGCTGGTGAGTAGGAATGCTTGGTCTGCCTGTGGGCACCAGACAAGGCCCAGTGAAGGTGTGCTGTGTTGGTGAGGAGCCCTGAGTGTGAGCACAAGAAACGCTCTGGCCTGGGAGTTCAAAGACTGAGTTCTCATCCTGGCTTAGTCCAGAGTTCCTGGATGTCCTTGAACCAGGCCTTTCTCGTCTCTGAGCCTCGGTTTTCTCACACGTAAATGTTGACTGTTGGGGTAGATGATTTCCAAGGTTCAAAGCATACCTTTACGCTGAGTGCAGTGGCTCATGCCTGTAATCCCAGCACTTGGGGAAGTGGAGGCAAGAGGATTGCCTGAGTCCAGGGGTTCAAGACCAGCCCGAGGAACTTGGTAAGACTTCATCTTTACAATAAATAATTTTTTAAAAATTAGCTGTAGGGGGAAGGGGGAGGGGAAAAAGAAAAAAAAAATTAGCTGTGGTGGCGCATGCCTGTGGTTCCAGCTATTTGAAAGGCTGAAGTGGAAGTATTGCCTGAACCCAACGGGTCAAAGCTGCAGTGGCCATGAGCGTGCCACTAGCACTCCAGCCTGGGTGACAGTGAGACTCCAACTTCAAAACAAACGAAAAACAAAGCACAGTGCACTGAGTGGGACTTGAGGGAGAAGAAACAAGCTGCCTGGGTGTGACTCCTAGTGTGGTCACTTTCTAGCAAGTGGAAGGGAGGTTATCTTTGTTGAACCTGAGTTTTCTTATGAGCAAAAAGAAGATACTTAAAGCATTTATTATGGTAGTCTTTATTAAATGAAACAATGCATGCAAAAAAAAAGCTGGTATTTAGTAAACACAAAAAAAGGAGGCTGGTGTCACATAACTATGAAAATAGTAACTTCATGTGTGGGGAGGAGAGGAACTGCCATATAATGAAATGCCAGTTATGTTCGATCACTGTGTTAGGCACATTATCTCATATGTTAACTAAAAATCACATGATTTATAAATTTAGAAAGGAGGCTTTCTTTTTTTTTTTTTCTTGAGTTGGATTCTTACTTTGTCATTCAGACTGGAGTGCAGTGGCATGCTCACGGCCACCCCAGTGTCTACCTGCTGATCCTTTCACCTCAGTCTTCCAAGTAGCCAGAACTACAGGTGCGCGCTACCATGCCTAGCTAATTTTTTATTAATTGTAGAGATGAATTCTTGCCAAGTTGCCCAGGCTAATCTCGAACCCGCGGGCTCAGGCAATCCACTTGTCTTGGCCTCCCAAAATGCTGGGATTACAGTCCTAGACTTTATTTCTTTTTTTTTTTTTTGAGTCGGAGTCTCACTCTGTCACCCAGACTGGAGTGCAG